AGGTTTTTATTATATGTAGTTGAAATTTGTGTCTGCATCTTCAAGCAGTGATCCATATTCTATTGTCTAGACTTTCACAGAAAAAGTGTCTGCCTTATCCAACATGACAGGCATTCAAATACTGAGAGATAGTTATCAGGTACCTTCTTGTACAATGCAGAATGTACTGTACTGTATTGTATACTATAGTAGTTAAGAGAGTGTAGTCTGCAGCCAAGCAGACTGAATTGGATTCTTAGCTTCACCACTTACTAGTAGTGTCACCTTATCTTCTGTGCTTCAGTTTCCTCATCTGTAAAATAGTGATAAAAATAATACACATGTTAAAGGGTTGTGAATGTTAAGAGCTTTCATATATTTACAGTGTTTGGGCAAAAAGGTGTTAGGTAAGTGCATAACACAGGAGACAGGCTTAAGGCAGATGATGACAACTACTGTTACTAAAAATAATAGTAGCTAATACTTAGGAACACTTTCAATGTGACAGGCACTGAGCTAAGGCTTTACATGGATTACCCTATTTAAGCCTCATTTGTTAGAAGATGCAACTACTAGTTAGAGAGATTAAAGAATTTGTCCAAGTTCTCATAGCTAATTAGTGGTAGAGATGGGATTCATATGTAGGTAATCACATTTTAGGACCTGGCCTATTATTACACTATGCTGATGGAGTGAGGTTAAAGATTTTTACATTTCTCAAAGTGGAGCATGGATAAAAATATTTAGAAATGCTGCCTTAGACATTTGATTAGAGGTATTTATATAAGGCAAATGGAGAGATTTTGTTGAAAAGTGTTATATTCATCTGAAATGCAGATAAAAAATATATTAGTATTACTATTATTTATGAAAGGGCTTTGTAACATGTTAATGATAATAAAAGTTGCCTTGATTCTTTCTGTTTGTGAATTTTACTTTAGCTTTAAATAGCTAGTCAGATAACTTTCTCTTGCTTTGAGTCCTCATTGTGATATTTTATGTTTTTTGTATAATTTCTTAATGTAGTGGAATAGATCCAGTGTCACAAAATCTGTTGACTCCAGACATCAATTTGGCTTTAAAATACATTTTAAAACCACACTGGCAGTATTTTAACTCTTAGGAGGAGAGCCTTTGCTTCTTTTTAGTATGACAATATCCACCATGTGTTTGGTAGGTTAGGTAGAATTATATGACAAGATGGTTCCATACTTCAAGAAGTAAGCAGTTAAAAGGCAAGGCAAATTTTATGTTATATATTTTTTACCACAACATAAAAAAAAAAGCAAAGCAAAGTTGGATGGGGAGAGAACTTGAGAGTGATATATATATTCATTATCTTAATTTTGATGATTTCACAGTTATACAGAGATGTTAAAACTCATTAAATTATACACTTTAAGTATGTATAATTTACTGTATGTCAACTGTACTTCTGTAAAGCTGTAAAAATATAGCACACATACCCCACATATGCAGAGCCAAGACTTCTGAGAAGTTCCTATAAACATATCTTTGGATGTGTTAAGTATTTTTCATTAAACGTCAAGGAGTTTTAACTTGAAGTTATGGAAAATAACTGGTAAAGATATGACGATATCCCCTTGATTTATTATGGCACCCTTAAAATTCTGTTTTATATCATGAATGAAAAGTAGAGGTGCCTTTAAAATACCACCTATTTGTAATGTCAGAAGAGGAAGAAGCAGAGATTAAAGAATTCTTTATTGCTTAAATTGAAAGCTTATCAGGAAATCCTATCTGATAGGAAAAACTGTCTGATAGGAAAATCTACATATTTGTACAGCTGGTAAATCTCGCATCCTCTAAATCAAGCCAATAGCCACGTCAATTCTATTTAATTGGTCTTTGGACCTTGTTTACCTTTAAATAACTGTGACCTTTCATTCCATTGTTGAGTTAGTCTGGTCTGACTAAAGCCTGCAAAACCTTAAGGGACCCATCCCATGGAGAGAATGCACATGACAGAAGGAAGCAACAGTGATCATGATGAGATAATTTCTGTTTAAAAATCTTGGATTTTGGGAAGACAGCAGGATTATAGTGGTAAGGACTTTGGAATTAGATAAGTTTGAATTTAAATCCTGGTTCTCCCACTTAACTGCTACATGATCTCTTTTGTAGGTTGCTTAACCTTCTTGATCCTTAGTTTTCTCACTTGTAAATTGAGACTAATAACACCTGCTTCCCAAGTTATGTGGGTTAAATGAGAAAAATGTATATAAAGGGCCTGGTACTGGTCTGGCACATAGTAAATATTCAAAAAGGATAGCCATTACTATGACTTACTTCCTTGCAAGATATTGAGATTACTACAATATACTTCCTGGAATTTATGTATCATGTACACTGATTCAAAGAGTTAGGAAGGAGATTTTGTATTATGACGTCCTTAAAACTCTTGTTTTTTATCATGTATATAAATTTCTAGAGACCCCAAAAAACAATCTTACATGAGGGCCTAAGTGTATAGAAAATTGTTACAGAGCATTTTAATAATTTAAGTTTCTATTTAGAAAAAAACCTATAGAAAAGTTGTAAGAATATTAAAATGACTTCTTTTTGCCCTACCTAGATTCATACATTGGTAATATTTTGTCATATTTGCTTTACCTTTTTTGTATGTAATATAATATACATTCTTTTTTTTTTCCTGAACAAAAGTTGCAGAGATCAGGACCCTTTATCCCTAGATACTTCAGCATTTATCTACTAAAGACAAGGACAGTCTTTTACGTAACAGAGTAATTATCAAATTTGGGAAGTTTATTTTAACATTGATGGTTATTATTATCTGATACATCATCCATAGTCATATTTTACTGATTGTCCTAATGCCTATGCTTTATAACAAATATTCCCCCAATCTAGAATTGTGTATTACATTTAGTTGTCATTTCTTTGGTCTTTTTTAACCTAGAACAACAGTCCCTCAGATCATTGCTTTTCATAATTGACATTTTTTGAAGAATACAGATCTGTTGTTTTGTATAATGTCCTTTAAATGAGGTTTATCTGTGTTCCTTATAAATCCACACAGTTAAGCATTTTTGGCAAGTAATGTATCCTCAGTGCCTTTCATCAGGGGGCATCATTGATGATATTAATTAACTTCGATAATTTAGCTTAGAGAGTTTTTCACTGTAAAGGTAACTCTTTACCCTTTGTAATTAGTAAGTAATCTATAAAGATTTTAAAACTGTGTAAATATCCTGTTCCTCAACAAACTTAAAATCCCAATCATTTTAGAATCCTAAGAGCATTTTTATATCATAAATATACTTTCCCCCAGTGGTTTTAGAACCTCAGGAACATTTTTATATTGAAAACATGTGCTTTCCTCACCTTGATTGAAGCCTTCTTGGGAAAATAGTTTTTCCTTTAAAAATTATGTTACAGTACTTTGTACACAGTAAGTACTCAATATTATTGACAACCTGACCTTAAGCTGCCTGACATCAGATAAATGATTACATTTCTTGGAATGGATTTTTTCTTCCTGTCCTTAGAAGAATTTAACAGATACTTAGAGCAAAGTCCTGTTTTATGCAAATTAGAAACAGTCATAAATTAGTTGGATTGATTAGGCATTCTTAGCAGGCCTCTCAGACCAGTGAGATAAGAGTAGTAATACTGACCTCTAGATATTTTGAAAGAATAATTCATAATAATAATGAAGAAAAGCTCTGATCATCACTGGAAAAACTTGGTTAAAATGTATAGTACCCTTTTTCCATTTTAATTTGCATTTGTGATGAAAGGGAATTTCTAGGTAGTATTCATCTTTCACTTTAGATTCTGACATTTTTTCATATCAGCCTAATACTTAGCCATGACTCATGGGGTGTCACCTGCATTCTCTAAGAATTAGGACATGTTTCTTGTAGATCTTGTCACATTCTCACTTGGAATTTAGCTGGAGGGAAGAAAGTAAGGCACAATTGCAGTTTAGATGAACATTTATTCAGAAGGGCTTATTAGAGGCAGTGAGACAGAGTAGAATGTCCTCAATCTGTCTGGCATTTGTTTTGTTTTCTACCTCTTCTCTGAGGATCTTTTTTACACCTTTCACTGTACCATATCTTGGACAGAGATGGCAGTTGATCACTAAAGTTCCACTAACCCCAGTTTCTGGCTGATGCCTAAAATTTCATCATTATCAAAAATTTATTTGTGCTAATTATGCTATCCTAGGAAAATGCAGATATCCTTGAGGGGGGTTGCAGGGTAGCACAAACCAACATCTAAACATTAACATCACAAATATTCAGAACTTTCCTGTGGTAGCTAGTTGCTAGAAGCACTCTGCTAAATGAGACAGTTTTAAGTTTTCTTTGGGGTAGGAGAAGCTTGGGTGGTGTTTTGACAGTTGGTGACTGAACAAGCTTAAGGTGCTACAACTCTGAAAGAGAAAGGGGGAATGAGTATTGGAAAAAATAAGGAAGGACATTTAAAAGATTCAGTCACTTTACAATTTTCATGAATTTAACCTAGTGAAGTGATCTCTGAAATCAACAGAATATTTAGAGTTAAGGAATCCATGCTTGGTTTAATCAGGAATTGGTGATAGCCATCCCTATAAAAAAGTCTTTTTTCCCCAAAGTCTCATTTTGCAATGAAGACATTCCTTTCACATTTCCTTGTACCTGTCATACCTCCAGGGTGTCCCATGACACAAGGGGTAGTGGTAAAGTCTGTATGACTAACTTTCTCTGCCAAGTTATTCCAGTCTTTTGCATGCGGTCAAGACATGGAATTAACAGTTAGAATACAGGCTGCATTGGTCAGGGGTAATCTCCAAGGGCAGGTGATTGATTGTGGCCATTGTTCCACAAAGAAGCATTTCAGTGTTCCTACTAGAACTTGTGGTTTATTGTTGTTTTTGCCAGATTCAGCTGGCTCATCTTTGTGAGAGGTGTCGTACAGAATCTATCTTTTGTTGAGTGCATTGTTGTTAACATCTCTGAAATACTGGTGACAGATTTTTTTCCTGCCCCCAGTGAGAAAAAAAATCTTTTTCACTTTCTATGGCCAGTTGAAAGAAGATGGATGCACAGAGTTCAGCCAAAGTCAACACAAGGAAGAGGAGGAAAGAGGCACCTGGACCTAATGGGGCAACAGAGGAAGATGGAATTCATTCCAAAATGCCACGCTGTGCAGTTGTAAGGAAATGTTTTATTTGTTGAACACTTAAACCTGGCAAGGGGAGGGTAGAAACTGATACATAATTGATGATATCAGTGTTACAATTCTTCTTTAAATCATGGAAAGAAAGAATAGTGTGACTAGTAACTATTTTTACAGTTGCTAGAAATCTTATACTTTCTTCTGAGATTATAGTTCATAGCTCAGTTGTAAGAGCTTTGTATTAAGATTAGAAAAAGAATGTTAGGAAAATTTGGAGTTTGTGTGTATATTAGGCTAAAGATCAAATTCAAACTAAAGAAAAAGAAATTGAGGCTCTAGGCAGTGAGTGATCCAATCTTGCTATTATCTCATGTTTTCCATGTCTTAATGTCTTTTGTCCTTTATCATTCTTCCACTCTGTTACTGGTTATGTGTTAGGTGGAAACCTTTTGCTATTACAGCCTATCTTTCATTCCTTTATCTCTGGGATGTTATCTTTGTATTTTCTAACTACTGCCAAGCCGTTGATGAAATACCTCATTTCAGACTGGTCACCTATCTCAGGTTGGTACCCATCTTAAAGCTTCTCCTAAAAAAACACATCAAAGAACACTAGTACACAACTGAAGTTGCTATTGATATATAGTATTATGAAATCCATGTTTTAAAATCCCAGTGACAGAAATGTGGGCTTCTGTATTTTCTTTGCCTATGTTGACCTTTAGTCTTTAATTGTAGTTTCCACTGGTTAGTTCTGGAGCCTCATAGCCCAAAGGGGAAAGCATTTATTTGTACTCTGACACAACTAATAATTGTTCCAAACCACTGCTCTATCTTCAGCAGTAAAAGCAATTGGACTTCACAAATAGAAGGCATATGCTCCAGCCCTGATATTAATGATATTGGTGAGGGCAAGGGTATTAGTTTCCTACTGTGGTTGTAACAAATTACCACAAATTTAGTGGCCTAAAAACACTACAGATAAATTATATTAGATTTTTGAAGACCAGAAGTCTGAAGTGGGTCTCAGAGGGCTAAAATCACAGTGTTGGCACAACTGGAGATTGTAGGGTAGAATCTGTTTCCTTGTCTTTTCCAGCTTCTAGAAGCAGCCCACATTGCTTTGCTCATGGTGCCAGCCAGTAATTGCATCACTCTGCTGCTTCTGTCATCACATCTCTTGGATCTGCTTCTCTTGCTTCTCTCAGTCACTTTTAAAGACCCTTGTGATTACACTGGACATACCTGAATAATACAGGATAATCCCCCCATCTCAGAATCCTTTAATTTAATCACAACTGCAAAGCCTCTCTTGCCCTATTAGGCAACACAGTGACAGGTTCTGGAGAATAAGATGCAGACATCTTTAGGGGTCCATTACTTTGCATACCACAGCCAGTAAACTCAGGTAATGACTCAGCAGTCAACAAAACAGGGCCTCATTCTTTTCTGAATGTCTCTTAGAGAATTCAGGTTAAAGAGATGGTGGTGGGCATCAAATCAGCAGTCTCACTTGGAGCAGGGACAAGTTATAACCAAGTCTGTGATGCTCTCAGCCAGTCACCATAGCCAGGAATACAGCAAAGGAGGCCAGTCTTAGTGGAGTGGGTTCTGAGTAGACCTAAATTTCTTGGTCTTGGGAGCTGAGGAAACTCAATGCTTTAAATTATTTTGCTTCATGTTTTCAAATCAGTTGAGCGACTTGCTGCCTATTTCACATTCCTCTTTGGAACACACTGGCTATTTAGCATGGGCTAATAGTCACAGATTCACTCACCCAACAAGCTGGACTGACCCTAATGTAGAGCATCTACTAATGTCATCTCTGCTGTATACCTGTACTTTCTACGTCTGAACCCCTTTAAAGTCTGTAGCAAAAGCAAATAAGATTTTTTCTTTATAACAGCTTTATTATCATTATATAATCAGTCAATTTAAACTGTACAATCCAGTGGTTTTTAATATATTCACAGAGTTGTGCAAGCATCACCACAACCAATTTTAGAATTTTTTAATTAATTAACTTTTAATCGAAGTACAGGTGATAGACAATCATTTTTTATTTTTTTTATTAAGGTATTATTGATGTACACTCTTATGAAGGTTTCACATGAAAAAACAATGTGGTTACTATATTAACCCATATTATTATGTCCCCCCCATACCCCATTGCAGTCACTGCCCATTAGTATAGTAAGATGCCACAGAGTCACTATTTGCCTTTTCTGTGCTACACTGTCTTCCCCAGGATCTCCCCTACACCATGTGTGCCAATCATAATGCCCCTCAATCCCCTTCTCCCTCCC